TTGATTAAGGGTGATCATGCATTTCAATTGTTTAGAATAATGACAGTACACTCCAATGGGACACTTAATGCTTTGGCTCTGTCATGTTCGCTTCCACATCTAAAATTATAATGTAATTTTTGCTAAATGCATCACTGCTGTGAAAAGTGTTTCCTTACAACTTGGAGAATATGCAAATTGAAAGTGAACAGCCTGAGAGCTGACAGGAGTGTCCTAGTGCATTATTAATATTCTTAGATTTCTCCCCTCCCCTCCCATTAGAGTACAACTAGGTGCAGTGACTAATGCTATCATGACACAGTGTAGGAGCTTATAAATCCAGTTGGCAAACCTAATTACCAGAAGGCTGTATATTCTGCTTCATATTACTCCCTGTCTCCATTATATCTTTAACAAATTCTTACCAGACCACATTCAGTTAACATTAAAGTTCAGTGACAAAGTTTCTGAGTAGATGAAAGTGCTCAGAAACTCAAACATTTACTCTGTCAAACTCTTTCTTGGTATAGTTCAGGTAAGATATTGTTCTATCTTCATTTTATATGTCAAAATAAATACCTACTCATCTAAAAGATGGCGATATTCAATTACATTTTCAAAAAAAACGAAGGGACTTGGCATGTGTACAGAACTGCACCATGCATATTTTGCAGCACTGTAAATTAGACCACTTTTTATAAAGTTACAGTGCTCTTAAACATGACAGAAGTGCAGTGTTGGGTAGGGTGGGGAGAGGGAGCCTCTGAACCTCCCTGCACTTTCTAGGCTAGGAGGCAGAGCTGGGGTTCTCCAGTAGACAGAAATTTGACCAGCATACAGAAGCTATTTAAAGCGCTGTAGGTTGCTAAAGTGCTGTAAAATACAGTGCTTCAAATTTAATACCTCTTGTAACAAGGGTTAAAGCAGTGTACCCATTTTTAAAGTGCTATAAAGTTGTGCACTTCTGTTAACTCACAGCAATAAAATGCTTTAAATGGTGAAAAAAACAACATCTCTGCACACCCTTAGGTGCCAGTTCTCACTGAAATTGAGTAGAGTGTCCAATTTCCTGATGCTTCTTTGAAAATCCCATTTATTATTGTAAAAAAAACTTTGAGGAACAAATTAATAAAACTCAGTGTGTTAAAATCCTCCTATAGCCATTACAAAAAAAACAAAAATAAAGGTAAAGGTCTCTGAAGGGTCCAGAATGACAGCTGTAGAGAGTGAAGAGCTCAAAGATAATGATATTCATCCTTAGAGCCAGCACACTACATAGCCATGTAGCTTTATAGCAGAGGCACTATTAAATAGCTGAAAGTTCAGTCACTGAAATTTTTCTACACTGATGCAGTTAGAGAAGAATTTGGGGGTGTTTTCTTTCAAAGGGATGAGCTAAAATAAGACTATGACACCTTAAAGGAGGTGTTTGCTAACCATGATCTGGTGAATAGTTGATCATAGTCCACAAAAAGTTAGTTAAAGCTGTGTACGCACATCCTGTTTGCAACTGTCCCTCTCCTCTGCTCCTTGGGCCTTCCTGAGATGGGGGTGATCCCTCTGGGGAAAGTGTGGGGAGCAGTGGCTGCTCCAGTTCTGTTCCTGCGGGACTGGAGCAATGCAGCAAAACCAATGCCTGCTTCTCACACCAAAGTCCCTCATGTACAAGAAGCTGGCAGGGAGAAACTGGCATCTGCCCCTCCTCCCCTCCCAATCTACAGGAGGGGCAAGAGTAGCTGCCCCCAGTATCTACAGATTGGGGCAACCCTTATCTCTGGAAGAAACAAGAGCCTTTCCTTGCAGCTTGACGACTCCTGGTCGCTGGGAAGAGTTAAGTTGTGGAAAGTATACAAGTGTCTATTCTCCTGGGAGAAACTCTCCCAGGAGCAACTTCTACCAGTTTGAAGTTGGGTTTTCTCCTGGAACCACCATTTTTGGTCCACGAGAAATATCATGGAAGTTTGTACACTTGTGGTTTCTACTAGGAGAATGAGAATTCTCCTGGTAGAAACATTACACTTATGCATGGTCTAAGTTACCTGGTACTAAAGCTCCTCATTGCCTATGTAGCACTGGACTATTCACATGTGTAGATCTAGAAGTTGAGTAAACATTTATAGGATCAGGCCTAAGCATCTTTCAGATTCTCTAAAGGGCTTTGAGGCAAAGGTCATTACCATAAACAGAAAGATTCCCATTTTCCTTAATACTCTGACTTGTGCCCTGGTTCTGTGTCCAGTGCTTTTGCTTCAAACCACTTTATCCAAAATTAGAGGCAGTATCTACTCCCCTTAACCCATATTTTATACTGGTCTAATTCCACTTGCCTGACTGAAGTTAATCCTGAATAAACTAAATCTGACTAAAGTAAATTTCCTAGGACTATATGGTCATGGATTCACCCAAAAATGAAGTTGCCCTTTGGGGTTCACTATATGGCATGCATAGATATTCTCCAGAATTAGATTTTATCCTGTGGTGTTCAGTCTCTATTTGTAGCTAGTGGGAAGCTACAAATAGAGACTTATTTTGTATGTATTATGGTATTTGATATAAATGTAATTTTGACATATCTTTATATTATAGTTGAGGTTGTATTAATAAGACAGTGATTAACTTTGGCTGCTCACACTTAGAAGTGACAACAGCTGAGAATTAGCATTTGACAGAAGTTGTTTGCTCTTAAATAGTCCCTGCCAGACAATGATGAATTTACACTTTAAAGAAGGGGCTGCAAGAACAACACCTGGATATGGGGAGAATATTTCCCACTGAGGGGAAATTATAAGAGAGACAGATATTGTATTAGTGAATTTCCATGTCTGAAAAGATACACATACGCTTCTGGCTTTAAGTGTATCAAGAAAGATGTGTGATCTGCTAAAAGTATCTTTAGGGAGGCAAGAAGTAACTGGTACAGTGTGAGCCTCCCTGGAAACAAAGGGTTAATGCATGTTAATAGCCAGATAACCATTGTACTTGTCAGCCTCAAGGGCATGGCTTTGTCTTCTGTCTTCCCGGGCACCAGGAGGGTTCTAGACCCTTGGCCAAGGGAGGCTTAGAAAAGGAAGCTGATAGGGGGCACATCTATACATGCAATTAATGTGAAGCAATAAATTCCTGGCTCGGAGGCGAGGACGGGGGCTTGCATGGGCTCTGCTGGCTCCAGGGAACTGCTCCACAGGCTCCAGGGAACTGCTCCACTCCCCGGCCCTGATGCCATGTGCCTCCTTAATCCCCAAGGTGATGCAGGAGAGCAGAGCAGAGCAGCTCCCTGGAGCCGGCGGAGCCCGCAGCACAGTTCCCCGGAGCCGGCGGAGCCTGCACCAGCCTCTAGCCCTATCCCTGCCCCCACCTCACCTCAGGGAGGAGCTGCTGCCTGCCCTGCATGAGGAGTGATGACCTTACCTTCGTCTGTTGGCCAAATCCTACCCGCTCCCATCTGGACACTTACTTTGGGACACTTACGGGTGGACCACGCCGCACCAAAAGAGGGAGGCGGGACCGAAGCGGCATGCTCACGGATTGAAGTGGCACGCTCATGGACCACTACTCCTTAGAGGGAACATTGTTTACAAGTACTACCCTGTTGCAAAGTTAAATAGTTTACTCCAGCCTACTAGGGTTGCATGTGTAGACATGCCATGTTTACTGTGGAGTTAATTAATTTAAATTATACTTATTATAATTATGATGAAACATGGGAAGAGTGGCCTTCATTCTCATACTCGGAATAGGTTTTTGGCTGCCTTTACCAGAATAGTTTACAAAGCAGACAGATGTTTTATCTACATGTCAACTATGCCTGGCCTCTTTAATCAGTTTCTTGGGAAATAACGTTAATGAGTTATTCTTCTTGGAATGCATTAAGAAATAAAGTTCTACTATATTATGCATCTGGTGATTTTTCTTACACTACAAATAGAAGAACTATTAAAATAACGAAGAATATATAGCAATATCATATGTTATAATATAAACAAAATATTTAAGTATTTTAAAATGCTATGAAAATGGGATGGGAGGGCTCTGGGGGATTGTTAATGGATTAAAAATCTGTTTTATATCCAGCCCAAGACTGTAGGAATCAAGTCCTAACCATTTTTTTTTTATTAGTATGGGGGTTGTGTGGAATGCATTGATCTCTGCTCTGTTGCTAGCAGGCTTGCATCTTCTATGCCATGTTAAATCAGCTGAAGACATCCACATTGTGATGCGTGTTTATTTTAATTTATATGAAATATTGTGATGTATGTATGTACAAAGTGTACTGCATATATTTGGCACATTTTCTCACACTATGATATGGCATTTCCAATATTATACTTTGTAGGTACGCAAAACCAATGGGTGTTTATACATACTCCAGGAGTGGTGGGGGGATGCTTTAATTAAAGCTCCTGGAGTATTTCCTGTGTAAATGTTCCCATGCTTCAAAATGGTGGCAGAGATTAACTGAGTCTGCTCTGATGCACTGTAATCACAGTGCATCAAGAGCAACCTTCCTGCTCATGTCTAGGCACCTAATGTTCCTATTTGGAGCCCCATACATCCAATGGGGTCCCCATGACTCTAAAAACAGATGGAAAATATCTGGTCCATTAATTCATGATGTAACTCGGGGTATCTGAGCCAGCCTTGACACTGGAGCTGTTTGGTAGCACAACATCACACCTTTACCCTGCAGTGCATGCCTTGGTGCCCTCCAGGAGTCTTGTTTGTTTAGACTCTTTGGAGCAGGGTCTGCCTTGACTTTATGCAAAATGGAGCCCAAATCTAAATAGGGACAGCCTCAAAAATAATTTGAAATACTCCTTTGAATTTTTCAAATGCTGAAAGTTATGTCACTTCTATTTTCAAAACAGATTTCCCTTTGGGTCTTCCTCCGTCCTTTACAGAGCTGCATTGTTCTAGACAGGTCAAAGGTTCTCAGCGGCATGAATCTGAACATTGTGTTACCACCAAATACACAGATCAAAAGCAGAGTCCTGGATTCATAAAGGAACACACACACAAAGAGATGCAAGAAGACAATATTTATTGATTCTAGTGCAATCTGCATTTGAATTGAGCCGATATTCTCATATAGGGGGATAAATTCTTCAGTAATTTTGTTCCAGCTTCCTTGGGAGCAAAGGGGGTTTTTATTGGGATGTATGGTTCTTTCCTCCTTGGAAATACATTTTTTCCCCATCTCTCTGAATATGGACACCTCTAAGTCCTGCCTATGTGAAAGTGTCATCCTGGTGGTTTAGGGAAATATTATCATTAGTTTAAATAAAATTCCTCCAGCTTCTGGAACCCAATACAGGAAATCCCTTAAGCATCTAATATGCTTAGGTACTATCCAAAACAGATATGTACTCTGAAATTGGGTTCTGAGTTGAGAAGAAATTAACCAGTTAAAGAATAGACATCTTGAGTGGTCTTAGGCTATTCATTCTACCATACAGTTGAGTGGCATTTATAATTACCTTTTAATATCATCAGTGTCGTATTATCTAGTTGACACACACACAGATTTTCATACCACATGCCGTAGCTGCAGTAATGCAACAGTTATTGATACAGTATATGAACAAGTACACAGCTTTTTAACACCCTAAGATTTTGAAAGTATACATGAAAATATTAATTAGTCCATAAGAGATTACTAAATGAAATGAGGTCTCTAGAGATTTTTGTAAGATGGTTTTCTTAGTCAGTTGACTGCCAGATTTCTCATCAGACATGTTAATGGGTTAAGAACACTACTGCTAGCTTACAGTAAAAAAACAATCCTGATTCTCAAATTTCTTTCCTTTAACAGTCAGTTGGAATGAGTGTAAAGAGGTACGTTAGTGCTAACAGTTCCTTCCATTCATGCAAAGGAAGAGATGTATTCCAGAACTACATCCAACAGATTTTTCTTTAAAAGACTGCAGCATACATACACACATATGTACAAAACAGCACATATCCTTTTACTGATGAAAAAGTTAACAACCAATTGATCAACTAACCACCTTAATCACACAGTGGCCCAAGGATGCAAATTACATTTCTAGCAAAAAGTAGTTGCAGAGACAATGAGGAAGTTTCAAAAGCCTGTGAGGTCTCTCAGTGAACCAGCATCCCAGAACTTTGTCTGCTCATTTTAACATTCTATTTCAAACCCCTTAAGCTTGTAGAAGTGGGCTGGAAACCCAACGATGCAGTTTTACCATGAGATTTCAAGTGCATCTTGCTTTTGGTTGGGTTAGAAAGATAATTAGAACTGCTTTTCTTGTGGTATTTCCATTCCTATTCACCCCTGGAACCATGAAGTTCAGGGAAGTGAAAAATAATTCAAACATTAAAAATGTGAAACAGGTTTGAGTATCAGTGATGACTGAGGCCATTTCTAATTTTAACTAAATCAGCTCTTGACCCTCTACCCATAGCACATACTGGTCTAAGTAGACGCAGAAGAAAAAAAAAGTTACATTTTAGATGAGAATAAAAGCTATTTGTGCCTCTCAGCCTCACTTTCCCTTCCTCAACCTTCCAAATGTTTTAGAACAGAACCAGCACTTATATCCTAGATACCTTTGACAAAGAAATTATTCAAACAATGTAGCAGTTTGGTGTGTAAAGTGTCTTTCCACTTACTAATACAGGCGAGCCTCACCATTTGCAGGGGATATGTTCCTGCGATCCCTGCGAATGGCAAAATCCGCAAATAGGACACTGTGCTCATGAACGCGGTGCCCCTGGCGGCTGGGAGGGTGGGGAACGGCAATGGCGGAAGCCCAGCAGCAGGAAGCGCAGAGCTCCCAAGGAGCTCCGGTAAGTGTTTAAAGTGTATTTAAAATACAGGTTTGGCATTCGCAAATATTTGAAACCATGAATGCTGAACCTGCGAATACCGAGGGTATACCGAGGGTTTCCGGTAAGTACCGGACCAAGATTTAAAAAAAAAATTAGTGTCTAAATTTAGATTCCTTTGAGTCTTGGATTGAGCCACCTGTATAACTGGCCTTACTTGCAAAAATGCTGATCCAGTATATGGTATTTGGCCTCTTGTTAGGAAATAAATCAGCATTTTACCTGTATTTAGAATGTATAGCAAGGAAGAGCATCTAATTTAATCATACGATTCCCTCTTGTTTGTTGCACCTTCACAGGTCACATTCTTCATCTATCCTTAAGAGTACTACCCTTTTTTGGTTGTTTTTTTTTTTTTTTTTTGGGGTGAGAGGGAGAGGGGGGGAACCATCCACTGATCTTCCTGTGAGCTGGATGAGGAATGCCACCTTTCAGGTAGGGAAAAGATAGACATATGATTATATGCTTAAGAATTACTGAAAGATTGATGTTGGATACTAATCTCCTTAAAACATGAGAGACTTGTCAGGTACCCTTGTCAATTGCTTCTCTGTGGGCACATCTACACATGGCCATAAGGTGCCTTTGTTACTATGCCATCATTTAGTACTTCCTTTTAGTACTTTTGGAAGTACTAAATGATGGCACAGTAACAGCCCATACTGCGCCGTGCAGTTATTTTTGGCTGCTACGTCACTGTAGCAATAAGCTATAATGAAGAAGCACATTGCTACAGTGATGTAGCGGCGGCGTCAGAGTTTTTGCCAATGGATGCTATGGCACTGTAGCACATCGCTACAGTGCCATAGCATCTTGTATAGACATGCCCAGAGAGAGACAGTGAGGAAAGCCATGTCTGCTGTACCATTCCTAGATCTTCTGACTTCATAAAGTTTTCATGCCTGAAAAGTTTCCACATTTAGTTTAAAAGCTCTAATGATAAAATCCAAGCTGCATCTTCAAGACACCTTGTCTGGTGAATTGAATTTGAAGACGCAAAATGAAATTCAAGGGCCGTATGACAAGCTATTCCTGTAAAATCAGTTCTAAGTCTATTTCTGGTGGAATCAAATGTTGCTGTTTTATCTATGACTGCCTATTGCACAGATGTAGACAGACAGAAGTATTTGGTGCCATGTATTGTGATTATAGCAGAGTATTCATTTCTAATCCTTGACTATACTGCTTCAAAAGACACAAAACCAGGAAGGCCAGGAACACCCATATATGTTACTATGCTATCCAGGGCTCCACTTACTTGATTTCTCCAAGATTCAGACCCTTAATTTATTGCCAACAGCTTGCTCTCAGGCTTATACAGTACAGCATTTCTAACCAAAGACATCTGTGGGAGTGCTTGTTGCTCCTAGCAAAGCAGAGTGATTAATCCTTTTGCAGTTAAAATGTTTTCAAGAGCCATCCTCCTAATCTAGATTTTGGCAGTTTGATTTAAGGATGTAAAGACCTGTGGATCATAGAAAAAAAAATTAACTGATTTTAAGCCTTTCCCACCAGAAATAGACTTGTAGCTGATCTTACAGGAACAGGCTGTCATATGTCTGTCTGCCCTCTGCAACAGGCAGTGTGTAGTGACACTGTTTTAGATTTGAAACCTGCAATTTAGTCTCCAGTTCTTCCCTTGCTCCTGGGTTGAAACCCTGACCTTTACCAGACAGATTATTTCCCACAACATACCGACTCAATTCCACTGATTGCTGGAGAGGGGTAGGAATGGCGTAGTAGGGGGCTTAAAGCAGCCTTAATTCTTCCCCAGCTGCTCAGCCGCATGGAACAATCTGCAAAGGCTGTTCTCTCTTGCTTTTTGAGCTGTGAAGTGAGTTACGCAGACGGGACATTTTTAATATCCTTTAATTCTCTTGTGAGAGAACATAGAGCAGGTAATAATCTGGTCCTTAATCATTTATAAAGTATCCTCATAAAGCTGCAGGCCAAGCAGTGTAGAAGATTATCAGTAACATTCTGGAGCACAGCTGGAATGTGGCATTTAGTGTTCCATGAAATGGTAGCTTTGTATTAAGTGCTATAATGCCAGAAAGCCTGAGTGAAATTTGCATAGAAAAGGGCAATTGAAAATATTGTAATTGTTTTGGTAGTTCAGTGTTTCACTTACCGTCATAACAGTTTTGCTGTGACAATTTACTCTGACAGGGAATTTGACCGTGGGGACTTAAAAAATTTCCACTATAAGAATGCCCTGTTATTAGTAACATAATTATTAAAGGTACACAGAACATAAGAGCAGAGTTGTGGTAAAAGGACGTATAGTTAATTTTAGCAGACTGAAGCATAGGAAGTCAAAGACTTGAAAACTTGACACAGGATATTGCCAGAGCACAGCTGCCTAACTAGCATAGGTTGCCTGCTCTGACTAAGGAAACAAAAACTTTCTTCTTTAAAGCAACCACAGTCTAGCAAATAACTGAGGAACAGCAAGATAGCTATACTGCCATAAACGCTATGCTGCCATCACTCATATTGAATGTCCTCAGCTTTTTATGCATGCACAAATCAGGCACCTATTAATAAAACAAAGCTTTAAAAGGATTCAAAAATATTTTCAAAGTCATTTCCTTACCTTACTCAGTTTTATGAAAAATAGTAAAGTATAATACTAGTAAAGTAAAGTGGTAAGTTTCCTTTTTTTCCTGGAATTTATATAAGAAAAGAGGCAGAACAAAAATAACCTTTCCTCTAAAACAACACCGCAACAAGATTTTGAGGAGTATGAGATGGTGTATGACAATAACTGTGATAGAGAATATTTTAATAATAGTGTATATAGAAACATTTGTTTCAGACTGATATAAACCTACAAGTAAAATTGAGGGGGAGATTTTTGTTTTGTTTGTTTTTTTCATATATCACAAGAAAAATGATCCTCAAAATGGAAGAGGATTCCAGGTAACCCAAGAAATGCAAATTTAGCAACACTTTTCTATTGTAGTCTTTTGAACATAAGAAAAAATTTAAAGGTTAATTGTTGTGAATAGTCGCAAACATTAGTTGTGGACCAGCTAACCTGTGCTTGAAACCTGACAAATGCTGTCAGACTGGTAAAGCTATCATTTATTCTAGTAAGACCACAAACTAGATTTAGATCCCATTGTGCTTTACAAATACATGGCAAGAGACAGTCTCTGCCCCAAAGAGCTTACAACCTAAGAGACGAGACAAATAGAGAAAAGACAGGACTTCATGGCTAACTGTATGGCTCTCTGAGGCAGATAAGGGCTTATTTGGCACCTGTACCTCCTTCCAGCAGCCTCAGGGAACCAAGAGAAGATGCAAGTGGTAGAGATGCAAGCCTAAGAGAACCTCCCGGAGGCATTGTAAGCCATCATTTTATCCCCTTTTTCACAGCTGTACTAAAGAGTCCACAGAGGAAGCAAGGCTCCAGCCCCATAATATGGTACTGAAAATGAAAAGTGGATAAACACAATTCTAACAAACAGTGTGAACATTTGCATAGTTGGGATGCACAATTTGGCCAAGACTTTCAAAATTCAGCCATATGTTTTCTTTTTTTTTTTTGTAAGGACTGAAAACATTCTGGGGGAAAATCCATTCAAAGAACCTTACCTGCAATTGCCATTTACTCAAAAATCATCACCATTATCATTATCTACAGGTTTTTAATATCAGGAACATGAGAGCAGAAATACTCCCTTCATACCTAGCAATGCATATGCCTCTAAAGGTTCAGAGTTCAGGTATGGCTCAGATACAAATGTACAAAAACCTAGAAAATCTTGTGAGGACAGGTTCTTGTGGTAGTTTGCCACTTCTTTTTCTACACATAAAAATTAAAGGGAAGTAACAGCCAGCAGAATTTCTTAGACTTTAGAGCATCACAAAAATAAAGTGCCAAAATAATAGACCAATATTCAAGGGATTCTTGTTTTCTCCAAGTCCCTGGGTTCACCTACCCTCTCTAGCATTCCAGCTCTGTTTGCCCCTTCTTCCCCACCCTCTACCAGTCCCAATTAGAATTTGGAGACAGGGAGCGTGTCTACATGGGACGCGTTAATGCACATTAGCCTAATTTAAAGTGCATTCTACACATGCGTAGCCTTAATGCACATTAAAAATGGTGACATTAGGCTAATCACACTTAAATTTGATACCTGCAGATGTAGGCATCAAATTTAGGCATGATTAGTTAAGGTGTACTAATGCATGTGTAAACATGACCCGGCACTAATTTTAGTTCCGGGTCTGCCCAGCCACTAAGGGCACATCCCAGGGTTGCAGGGACTTGGAACTACCTGTGCCAAATGAACTAATTTTAGTGCTAAGTGCCTGCACGTGTAGACAACTGCCAAAAATTGTTTAGGCATTTTTACACGTCCTGTGTGATGCGGCACCAGGTGCTTTAATTAGCAAGGCATGCTGATTAAAAGTGCCCGTGCGTCACATGCATCAGCGTCCTTGTGCATCCCTGCACTGAAAATATGGTGACAGGGCAATTTGAACTACAGCTCAAACGTTTTATTTAAAAGCGTCCTGCCACGATTTTTTCAGGGACGCTGATATACTGTCAGAGTGTGTCAATTTCTGTGCTCAAGCAGACTTGATTTCCAGCACGTCAGAATAGGTTCCCCACATGTGTACAGGAGCCCATAATGCACATTAAATTTAGTTGTGCTTAAACACACACGTAGACGCGCCCAATTAAGTATATTTCAGGAACAACTTTGGAAAAAGAGAAAAACAGCAGAAGCGCAACATTTAGCTGGCACCTTCCTCAGTTTCGAACTAGCAGCCCCTTCTTGCATGTGAACAGCCCAAGAGCAGCCACTGATGTGAAGAAAGTAGATAATCCAACCAGCTTCAGTAGTCCTGGTATAGATGGCAAGTTTCTCTCCCAAAAGGTAGTAGTGATTGGCAGGGCTGGGACATCCTGGATGAGAGAAAAGTATTAGTACAGGATCTCCTTCTCCTGTGGGAAGGAGAGCATAATTTCAAACATGCTGCAGTAAAAACAGGCTGAATCCACTCTGGAGTCGCTGCTCTTTTACACAAAGGCCTATTTCATTTTGGCAACCTCTAACGCTCCCATTGCTTTTAATGTTTATCTCATTCCCTGCTGATGACTCAGTAAACATCCTGAACAGGAATTAAGGGACCTGCTTGAGAAAAGTAGGACAAGCTTGTTGGGACCACTCAACTATCTTACATTAACGTATTTCAAAAGAAATGGATCGTGAGCAGCTGTTTATATTTTCCAATCCTTGCTTCAGCAAATAGAAGAACTGGTTGAAAACAGGGTTGTTAGTTGTAGCTGTGTTGGTCTAAGGTCATAGGCAGGCAAGGTTCTTTGGGTAGATATGATATCTTTTATTAGACCAACTAAATAGTTGGGGAAAAGGTCTTTGCAAGCTTTCGTGCACAAGCACCCTTCTTCAGGCATTGGGAGACTCTGCTACTGTTCTGAGATCTCCAAGGTAGAAAGAAGCTAAAAGTGTGACAAGAGGTCTGTGAAAATGTAAACAGATAGAAGCTTGGAAGACAATGGGTAAAGATGGGAGGGGAGGTGGGGAAGAAGGGAAAAAAAGATTGCAGAAGCTCAGGCAGGTATCTAGTGAATCAGATGTCAGGGAGGTTGTAATATGTCATAAATCCATTTCATGATTTTTGGTATCCAGTAGATTTATGAAGTGAAGTTCATAGGCTCATCTACAAAAGGTGTTTTGTACATTCCCTTTGAGGACTGGAACTGAGTGATCAGAGAGGGAGTGATTGCCTTGTGAGAAGTGTACACCCACAGGTAATTGGATATTTTTGTCATTGATAGATTTTCAGTGTGCACTCATTCTGGTATGCAGCTGTTGTTTGGTCTCTCCTACATATATTCAATTAGGGCATTTAGTGCACTGGATGAGATATAACATTTCTGGAGGTGTGGGAATAAGATCCAGGAATGGTGATGGTTCTGTTGTGGGATGTAGTTATTGTGGGAGTGGTGGAAACATGTTGGCAAGTTTTGTATTTCTTGTCCTAGCATGATCTGGATCCATTTGGGTTGGTTGGGTCACAGAGAGTTCTAATCCTCAAAGGGAACTTACAAAACACCTTTCATAGAAGGGCCTACAAACTTCACTTCAGAAATCTAATATAAACATTGGATTTATGACACATTACAACTTGCCTGACATCTGATTCACCAGGTACCTGCCTGAGCTTACCATCTGCATTCTCCCCACTCCCCTTCCTCCCCCTCCCCTCCCATCTCTACCCATTGTCTTCCAAACAGGGCCGGCCCTCAATTTTTGGGGGCCCACTGCAAGATATAGTTTTGGGACCCCCTGATGCAAAGCCGCCAGCGGCATCAGGTGGGGAAGGGACGAGCGGCTGAAGAAACTGGTGGTGGTGGCGGCGCTGGTGGGTGGGGATGGCGAGCAGCTGGGAATGAAGCCAATGGCATCAATGCAGATTGCTGGCAGCCACCCCCGCCCTTGCTACAGCACTGCTTTGGAGTGTTTACAGCTGCAGGGGGCCCCTTGGCTGCAGGGCCCCCTGTGGCTGCAGGTTCCGCAGGGTAGGACGGGCTGACCCTGCTTCCAGATTTCTACCCATTTACATTTTCACAGACTTCTTGTCACACTTTTAGCTTCTTTTCTACCCTGGAGATCTCAGAACAACAGCAGAGCCTCCCAATGCCTGAAAAAGGATGCTTGTCCCCAAAAGCTTGCAAAGACCTTTTTTCCGACTATTTAGTTGATCTAATAAAAGAGATCACATCTACCCAAAGAACCTTGTCTGGTTGAAAATGGGACTTTTTAGTCATTTTTCCCTTGTTTTTCTCATCAGAATTTCAACAAAACATTTTATCTAAATTTCAAATAAATTTCACCCAAACCTATTAAAGATGGGGCTTTTCTGAACACAACCAAGCTTTAAAAGCTCATCAAATTAAAAGTAATGAGCACTGTCAGAGGTCTGTGAAGACATTAGTAGTCTTATCAAAGGAGGGGAAGTCTTTCCTGTGCCATTCCAATTAAATATTTAGACAGCTCCCCTTTGTGAGAGCCAACCACATACTTTTTACTTTCCAAAACTAAAATGACCAGCATCTGTTTTTCTACTCAGCAGAACAGCCAATGCATAATTGAGTAACACCTTACTTTACGTTATCAGTATCAAAGGCAGGGAGGGAAAAGCTTTCATAGTAACTAAAGGTAAACTTACAATCGATTCTGGTTCTGACTTCCAAATTTCACCTTCTGAGATTTCTCCCATAGAACACAGTATCTGAAAATAAACATCTCCTCTTAGTACCCTTCATTCCTTTAAAAAGCAAAACCGTTGACACTTTAAGCATTTGCTTAAACTAATACTGTTATAATCAAGATAAGATCCTATGTATTTTGACTCGAAAGAGAATCTGATATTTGTACATCATGTTCATGAGAGGGCCTGTTACTTATTGAGAATAATCACCCAACTGCAGGAAGGGATGGAAGAAAATAAAGGAATGGAGGAAACCTCATTAGCTCAGGAATGTCCTAATTATTGTGAGATTTAAACACTGCCTGAAATAAGCATATGCATAACCCTACTGAAAAATCCACATCTTCTTAAATTACTGATGAATTGAAGCCTGAATATGAACCAATAATCTGTGCGGGAAGCAGCCTGTAAAATTGATGCTAATGTTGTGATATCTGTTTCTTGTAACTGGCATGTGGAAAATAGGACAACTTACTTTTGAAAGCTTCCTTCTGATACAGAAGTAGGAAGAGGGTCTTGTGGGAAGGAGGAGACCTTACTGTTCAGGGCAGACCAAAGTGTTAAATGGGAAGTAGCTGCTAAAAATGTTACGGTCTGCTGGCAGGAAGCCAAACTACGATTATATGAAATACAAGCAGTCCTCGACTTGCAACATTTCGACTTAACAACGTTTGGCACTTACGTTTATAAATTGACACCCTGTTTCAACTTTATGATGTCAGTTTTGACTTTACAATGCTTGATCTGATGTGATGCCGCGCCAGTGAACAAGTTCGCTGCATCACTGATTTACCTGGAAAACATCTGTCCAAACTTCCTTGGACACTTTCTTTAAGAAAGCAGACAAGACTCCAGAAAAACCTGCAGCCAAGACTCCTGAGAAGACTCTAGTCAACCCTTCAAAAAGTCCAACCAAGAGCCCTTCAAAAAGTCCAGCAGTCACCTCAAAGAAGTCCTTCCAAATCCATATGATTGCTATTTACAATATAAATACAATAATGTAGCTATATTACTCATATATAATTGATTAAGCACAAAATTCTGGGGTATTTTTAGTGAGAATAGGGTACTGGGCCTTGGTTCAGGAATGAATCCCCCATTTATAACATTGTTTCTTATGAGAAAATTGGTTCCAAGTTACAACGTTTTGACTTAAAGATACAGTTTTCAGGAACCAATTGTGTCTTAAGTCCAAGGACTGCCTGTAGTCAAAGAGCATGACAGCAAAGATGCACATTTTTTTAAAGGTACTGGTTTCCAAACAAAAACATGGGGAGATTTTAACTGCTTTTTCCTGCTCCTGCCTTTTGGGCTAGGGACAGACGTTACACATAAGCCAGTTTAAGTGATCAGAAACTGGTTTAAACCTGTAACAGAATAGAAACTCAGTGCACTCAAACCAGATTCAAAATGACTGAAACTGGTTTGAGATAAACCTGATTGAATGTAGTATCAGACTTAACTGATTTAGGTCAAACTAGTTTACAGAACTTCTCTCCCAGAGCCATTCCAGGTTCAAATTAACTCACATTCCTCCAGCATCCCGGCATTTTGCAGCCTTAGGCTGGGCTGGGCTGTCTGCTCCAGAGAGCAGGGCGGGCCCCACCCCTTTGCTCCCTAGCTGGAGCAGTGAGGGCTGACTGACAAGGGAGTGGGGGAGGGGGGAGGAGTGGAATGCAGCCCAGTCTGCAGGAAGAGAGGGGGGACTGCCCCGCCATCCCAGCAAACCCCAGCTGGAGTCTGGGGTCAGGGTGAAAACACCTCTTTCCATGCTGAAACGTACTGCTAGCTGTGACTGTGAACCAGAAATCCTAGAGGCACCTAGAAACAGGAAGAGAAAGTGAAGAATAACCCTGCAGAGTCCTGCTGCTATGATTTTGGACTGCAAATCCCAGAGACCTCGGGGGCAGCAGGAAGAGGAAGCAAACACACAGCCCATATGACTATGTGCCAGAGAGGCATGCTCTAGCACTCTCCAGCTTCTGGCCTGAGCCACTGCAAGCATGTGGCTGCATTTCCTAAACCAAAAGTAAATGTCTACTTCTGTTTCTAACCTGCAAAGACTGAATCAATTCAGCTCCGGGCTTTTTGACTGCCTTGTAGAGTTAACATTGTTCAATATCTCCTGAAATGGGCTTTCATTTTTAGCCAGAATACAAGATGACTATCAGGTCCTGCCAGTTTGTATAGTTAAGAATGTCATTGGATTATAATTACTACTTAAAATTTATATCTTGCCCTACCCAGAAAGGCTCAGTGCAGCTTACAATAGAAGAAAAACAGTCCATGGGATAAGAAACAGACTCCCCTGTTTTGCCCAAATAATTTTATCCTAAATGCTTTACCTAGCTCCAGCTAAGACAGAGTTTAGCATTTCAGTTATTCTCTCCAAAACAGCTTTGAAGAACTGCATCTTATGTTTAACAAAGGAACATAATCATCCAAGATGCTTCTCCTTTACGTTGTATAAAAGTTGAAGACAGACCAACTAGCATGACTGATTTTTAGGATACCTTCCTCCCATAATACAAATCTCTCTCCAGTAGCTAAAGTAAACATCAGCTCTTTACTATGCTCTTGCTTGCTGTACCTTGTGCTAAGGCCTCTGGAAGGTCTGTTTTAACATTTTTCAATATTTTCAATATTTTTACATTTTTGTATGTAACAATGCATTTAGATTCTCTCCCACCATTGGGGTACCAGTTTTTCCCTTCATCTCATATGAAACGATTATGATATTTCTTTTGCTGATTGATATCTGCCCAGAACAACTGAACGTTCTTAAAAATATTTAGGAAAATGGCATTTGTAAGTGATCTGTATGTGCCTATTGATGCAAAACATTATCATTATTAAAAAGCAACATAAAGATTCTTGTTTGCTCCACAAGACTGTGACAGAATTGTCAGTCTTGAAAACAGACTTTTGTGCTGAGCTTATCAAAGCAATTTTATGTGGTTTACACATGTGATTCTCAGTGTTGCCATTTTTCGTGATTTTATTCAGAGGTGGCCGATATTTGGCACTTAACCATAACATCCCAGATCTTACAGACAAGTAGTATAATGGAAGCCTCAACTTTCAACTAAAAGAAAAATAAGTTTCTAGCCTTCATGTTTGCAGAGAAAAAGCTGGTAAAATGTAACGCATCCCAAGGACTCAAGAGAATCAAAAGGCAAATAAAAGATACTAATTTTAATGTAATCTTTTTTACAATAATCTCATGATTTGGGGAAACCCAACAACGATTTTTGAAAGCCTGGCATCAACCATACCAAATTCCCATTAAAATGTAATTCCTAGTTGGCCTCCAAACCTCTTCAGCAGCTTTGCAACTCAATTTGTTTTTTCCGCTTCAACTTGAATGCCCTGCCTCTTTAAAAGGTCAGTGTTCTTACCTCTCTAGCTGCTCTCTCTCCAGCCTGCACAGCCCCCTCCATGTATCCACTCCACTCTGTAGCTGTCTCCGTGCCAGCAAAGTAGATCCTGCCAACTGGCTGGCGAAGGATCCTTTCAAATGAACAAAGAATAGGTCATATCACCCTGATCAGGAAATGCAACTAATTTCCTTGGCTAAAGAACAGGAGAAGCACTTTAAACATCAACGAGCACTTAGAGATATTGGGGCAGTAGATTCTTTTGCAGTTCAGTCTTGCATTTCATCTCCTGTATCAGTCATTCTCCGATGCTCCTTATATTTTCTAAACAGTTTAAACTTGACTGCAATCCTGGTAATGCTGCTTAGGATTTGAATCTCATGTTCATGAAAGTACTATTGAAAAAAGCTAATTTATCTTGGGATTATAGAGAAGTAAAAATCAATCATCTCTGGCACTCTGAACTTCAAGCCATAGCCCTCATATTATTTACAAATAAACAGAAAGGGTTTTTCCCTGGCTCACATTACGATAGATCTAACATGTTATCAGTATGCATGCAGTAATCGGTAAGGCTTTAAGAAGCGAGGGTATAACATGGTCCTCAATTAGAATTTATTTACTGCTCTTAGAGAGCATCTACACATCTCCCTACAGCAGGGGTCGGCAACCCCCAGCATGCAAGCTGAGCATGGCACACGAGGTCATTCTGCTCGGCATGCCACCACCCGCCCCGGCTCTGGGTATCTGCTGCCAGCGACGGAGCCCCGGCTGCTCCCAGAAGGTGGCTAGGCAGCAGCTACAGAGAGCCGGAGCTGGCTGCAGCTGGGAGGCTGCAAACAGCTGCACCAGGCTCCAGAGCCCAGGCATGTGCACCTTGGAACGGGCAGTGGGGGAGAGGCCTGAGGCAGTGCAACCCCAGTCTCTCCCCTGCTCCCGGCACAGAGCTGGTGACTGGGCTCCAGACCCCAGTGCAGCTGTTTGTAGCCAGCCTGGGCTCTGGGCAGCTGCAGCAAGCAACAGGCAGGCTGCAAACAGCTGTGCCAGACTCCACAGCTCTGGCATCAGTTCCATGCTGGCGGCGACTGCGCACGCACCTCAGGGCAGACTGCGCTGCCCTGTTGTCTGCCCCGAGATGCGTGTGCAGTCACAGCCAGCACGGAGCTGATGCTGGAGTTGTGGAGTCTGGCGCAGCTGTTTGCAGCCTGCCTGTTGTTTGTTGCAGCTGCCCAAAGCCCAGGCTGGCTTCAAACAGCTGTGCCAGGCTCCAGAGCCCAGTCACCAGCTCTGTGCCAGGAGCGGGGTAGAGACCGGGGTTGCACTGCCTCAGGCCCCACCACTCGCTCCGAGGCGTGCATGCACGCGCCGGTACAGAGCTGATACCTGGGCTCCGGAGCCCAGCACAACTATTTGCAGCCACCCAGACGCAGCCAGC